TTTGGTTTTAAAGTATAAATATTTGAACGGGTTTCCAAAAGAACTCTCGGTTAGAACGCACATATGCCGTCAAAAATGCTGTCTAGTTAGGGTTAGGGGAAGATCCCTCGGTTTCGTGACAGAGCCGAGGGGTTGCATCGGTGCTTCGAGTGAACTTACGTTGTGCGTATTGCTAGTTAACCTGGGCTCAAATCCATCCAACCCATTACAGGAGTCTGATCCACCATCTGCGCTTCTTTTCTGGATGTGACGGTGGATCCGAGAAATATCTGCATACGATCCCGTCCCGATCAGATTTCTGGCGGCTACGGGAGACTTCACATACACCCGGGGTGCGTGATAAGATCTTGGTTCCACAAGGAAATCCACACCAAATGCCATGGGAAAGAATAAAAGTGCAATAAAGTATCCTAGGCCTCTCATTTTTCGTCTTCGGTGTATTTACAACACGAATGTGTTGCTGTTTAAATACGCATTAATTCCTCTGTGTCTCCCTCCTGAGCGGCTGCTGACGGTATCAACAAAAACAGACTGCCTGTGACAGCGAAAGGTCCCTACTGCTCATATTATTAGTGCTGCCTCCTAAGAGTGCACATCAACGCCTTTTTTTATTTGCTCTAGACAATTTTCAAGATCGCAAAAAAACCCCGCATACAAACCGAGTTGCTCTAACAGACTGTATCCTTGACAGTATATCGTGTTAAATACTTCCCAAAAAAAGAGCAAACAAAAAAATAACGGTGAAAAGAATGCACCTTGCAGAGTCTGCACTTGACTGGCTGCAGCGACTGGTGCGATCTTCTGATTGGTCCGTGGCTGCACATAATGTTTCTGTGAACCCGTGCGGTCAAGTTAGTTTGACACGTCACACTTCAGAGGACAGTAACATCTTGCGTTTCATACGTAAAATTATCTTCGGTGAAATATCAATATAACGGCTATAAACTCATAATGTCAGTGTCCTTTAGACCTATTTAATATGGAAAAGTTTAACTGTAAAGATATTGTAAGATATGCTGTGCTTTTTTCAGATTATTCGAGTCTTTTTTATTGCCTATATATGCAATTCTCAGACAATGTGACCAAATCCATGCATGCATGATCATCTTCATTTAAATGGCTGCACAAACAGTTTCTTTTAAAAGTCTAATAACAAACTGCACACTTTAGCCGCACACATGCTTTAGGCTACTTATTTTTATACCAGCAAAATAATTTCATGTCTAAACAATAGCAAGTGCATGACTCTTATTGTCAATACATTCTCAGTGAGATCACAGTGGAAAATTTAGTGTAGTCCTCCAATGTGCATCATGGAAGAAAGAAGCATCTGTTGGTGCACTTCACAGTTCAGCCTACAACATAATCTTGCATTATCATCAAAGTCTCTGTGACTCATATCATAATAGAATAATTTAGTGCATCTTCCACCAGATTCTAACCATTTTATTGTTGTATTGCACCAACAAGATTTTTCACAGTTACTGATGACACAATGGGAACATGTAAAATACAACAAAGCGAAGGGTCAGTTGCTAGTTGTAATCAGCTGTTTGTTTTTAATCCTGCCCTTTTAAAATGTTTCAGTTTAGATTTCAGCAAGCAATGTGTTAAAGGTAGGCCATTTCACATACATTCTTACAATGTATTTATGTACCAAATCATAGAATTTTCAATTATATTATTACTGTATTTTGTGTGTGTCCATATGATTATGGCAAGATCTGGCATGGAATAGCCTATCCCATGATCACAAACCAAGTGAAACAGAAAAAAAGGCTTGTTGTGACTTCCAACAGTTCCCTGTAATTCTGATCTGCAGTCATGCTTATTCTAGATCTGCACTGCTGGCCGAGAGCCACATGCTTCCCATTCATACTCATCCTGTCTCTTCTATTAGCAAATAACATTTTGCTATTCGCTAAAGAAGTGAAGTATGGACGTCATTGCTTCTGTAAGGAATATTATCATTCTAAATGTCAGCCCAATGTGACTGCAGTAATGCCTTTTTAACTTTGCAGTGCACTATAAAATTCTGCATGGGTGGAAAAACCCAGTAGCCCCTCAAAACCTGACATACAAGTAAAGATGGTGTGACCTGAATTCCTCAGTAGTGACTGTATAAGGTCTGGGCACCTACTATCCATTGAGAGCTAGGAAACTTTTCAAAGTTAAGATGAAAGAAACTCCCAATGTCAGACTGTTCTTTTTCACCATCAGTTGTGAATTTTAGGCCAACTGAGACCCTTTTATATGAACTTGTTACTTTTGCAACATCCTATGTATGTTAATGATGTTCACTCAACATTGTTTTACACAACATGGGAAAGAAATTTAAAGGGATAGTTCACCAAAAAATTAAAATTCTGTAATCATTTACAAACTCTCCAAACCTGTATGCGCTTCTTTCTTCTGTTGAACACAAAAGAAGATTTCGAAGAATGCTGGTAACCAAACAGCGGACAGTAACCATTGACGTCTATAGTTTTCTATAGTATTTTTCCATACTGTGGAAGTCAATGGTTACCGTCAACTGAATACCGTGAACAGAATTTTCATTTTTGGGTGAACTATCCCTTTAATGTGTGGTGTCATTTTAAACCAAATTTAAATATTTAAAAATGCTTAAAAATGTATTTTTCTTTTTTTTTTTTTTATCAAAATGTGCATTTTACTAAAAGCAAGGAGACTGTATAAAAACACTGGTGGGGACAGGGCAAAAATGCCAAAGGAAAAAAAAGTTTCTTATTTAAAATATTGATTAATGTAATAGGCCTATTAATACCAATATGTAAAAAAAACGTAATAACAAATATTAAAATATGGTATCGGCTATTCATTGCAGAGATTTACACGTAATAACAAAATTTATAAGCCAGATTTACACGTAATAACAAAATCCATTTAGTCTTTTGGTAATAAGGAACATTCTATGGCAATGAGCTGCCTCTGGTGAGAACTACATCTAAGAGCGTCCTCTTGTGGTCAGATCACATCAACGCTGAATGCTGTAAACACGTTTAATCCTCTGGGCCTCTTTTTATAAAAATTTTATATTTTGAAATTTTAAAAATCGTAGCTTCATCGGAATGAGATGACACTTGGTGACTTTTGTTGCATTAGCTATGTGAACACACAAAAATCATGGACATGATTAGGTTTGCAAAAAAAAAAAAAAAAGTCACACTTGGCTCCTTCCCGGTCAAAAATGACCGACATAGGAAATGGGTGGGAAATACTAAAAAATACAACTCAGAGAATCTTTTGGTGGTACAAACTACAAATCAGCCACTGTGCAGAAAAAAGTGCACAGCAATCAAGGGGTGACACTCTAAAATATAAAGAGTGCAAAATAGACACCCACGCACACACACACAATAGTTTTGTGTAATATAACCAGTGTTGATCTAGTTAGCTTACTCAAAGAATGTAATAAATTACTCATTACTAGTTACTCATTTAAAAAGTAATATTGTTACTTTACTTATTACTTTCTGGCAACAGTAATTAGTTACACGTTACATTACTTTTTCTTCACGCCCCACAGAAGTTGTAACTGTGTGTCTTCCACATAAAATTCTAGTGATTGATAGTGCCACAACTTACACAACAGTGCTCAGATCATCTTTTTTCCTGACAAAATCAATATAATGCAATATTTCTATCTGCTGAATGTAAGCTTTTCCATATTCCAAGCTTGCCTGCTGCACTGGGGACATCACATGCATGTGCGAGTCATGAAAACTATGAAAATAAATGTAGGAATTATTTGATTGTTGGATTTTAAACCAGCGGGGTTGAGGCATCAAAAGTAACTAAGTAACTAAGCTGTTTTATGGATGGTAACTGTAATATTATTACTGAAATCTTATTAGTAATTAGTTACTCTACTAGTTACTGCAAAAAGTAATATTATTACAGTAACTAAGTTACTAGTTACTGCCCAACACTGAATATAACACAATAATGTACGATTGTAATCATAATGCAAAACCTGATATTTATCTAACCAAAAATATCTAAACCTTGACAAAAAGTTGTCTTTTAGAATGTCTAAATATATATCTAAAAGCAAAACCTAATAAAATGAAGAAATTATGTCTAAAAAAAACAATGGGAATCCATTTATTGAAAAAGAACAATTAAATAATTCAAATATATATATTAATTATTGTGGGGGAAAATAGCTAATTAAAATTGTATAAATATTGCATAATATCTTATAATCCCCTCAAAATTCTAAATAATAATCAAAAATATATTATTGAACAAAAATGTATTAAATTGTTTTTCCTGAAAAAAAAAAAAAAAAAAAGAAGAAGTTACATTTCAAGGCTTCGGTCCCTTTTGACCGCGAAGGAGCCAATTGTTACTCCCAAATGAAGAGGACCAGAGGGTTAAGACTTATTTATATTAATAAAACAAATGCCCAGAAATGTCTCCAAATAATATCTGCCAACATTTATGCACAATATAGTTTGTAAGAATGAAAACATTTCTGCATGCTAAGATGATAATGACGATAAGATGTTACAGGGAAGCTTTGGTTTGGTAACTGTAAATTGTTTTTTTCTTTCTTTAGTTCGCCAGCAAGCACTTTCGCTTCGCTCTCGCGGCTTGCAAAGCAGGCTCGCCTGCAGCCACTGGTCTATAATATGTCGCTGTGGTAAGGTGTACTCTCAATCTGAGGTGAAACTGGTCTGTGCAATGTAGGAATTTTATTTTTTATAGCTTTTTGAATGTAGAGACACAGCAGCGTATTTCTGAGATTCGGGGGGCTCTTATTTTGTAGTTCCACATCAGACAGTCCTGAAACGATGCAGCTGACACTGGGGTAAGGTGTACTCAACTCCTCCCACCTTACATATACCTAAACCTACCCGTCTCCACCCCCTGATCCCTAAACCCACCCATCTCCACCCCTAAACCAACCCATCACCACCCCCTAGATGTGGATCCAACCCCGCCCCCTGGATCTTTGTTCTGCAGTGAGGGGCTACTGGGAAGAGCAGTTGCATTCAGATCAGTTCTCTGACAGTCTTACCGTAACAGGAAGTTTATGTGCGACCCTCGAAATAGCGTGGCGGCTAGATTGACCGTGCTTTTCGACTTGGCGGCTGGCCTGACCGCAGTGTGCTAGCATTGTGTTGGAGCAGCCATGAATGCAGCTTTGAAAGAACTGCGCAACCTGCCCGCCCCCGCCAAAATCAACCTGTTTTTGCACATCACAGGTCGCCGCGCCGATGGTTATCACTTGATTGAATCGGTCTTTCAGCTCATTGACTGGCAAGACACTGTCCATCTCAGCTTGCGTGAAGACGGACAGATCTCTCGCGAAGATCTAGTTTCTTGCACAGGAGCAGAACTCCCCCCAGACGACCTCTGCATTCGAGCCGCCCGAGCCCTGCAACAAACCACGGGTTGCACCTTAGGCGCACACATCCAACTTGAAAAGCGCATCCCTGCTCAAGCGGGCATGGGCGGCGGCTCATCCGATGCGGCGACTTGTCTTTTAGGCCTTAATCGCCTATGGAATCTTAATCAGCCGCTCTCAACATTAGAGCAAATTGGCCTCTTTCTAGGCGCTGATGTACCCTTCTTTCTGCGCGGCAGGAACGCCTGGGTCAGCGGCATCGGTGAGCAGATCGAGCCCCTCAACGATGGCATCCTGCCTACCAGTCAGGCATTGGTCATCATCAAGCCAAAAAACGGCTTATCGACAGCAGCGATTTTTGGTCACGAAGCCTTGAAGCGCGATACGCCACATGCTATACTCGCGGTCTTTGCTGAGAATCCTTACGGCTTTGGCCGCAATGATCTCCAGACTGTTGCCGAGCTGATCGAGCCGCAATTGTGTCAAGCTCTTGCGGTTTTAGAGAAGCAGGGCTTAAAGCCGCGCATGACAGGCTCTGGCAGCGCGGTGTTTGCGCGATGTCCGGCTGATTTCCAGCTCGACGCAAGCTCAAACCCGCTGGGCTGGCAGCAAAAGGTTTGCAAGACACTCGCTGAGCATCCATTGGTTGGCTGGGCCGTTTAGCAAACACTGCATGTTTTCGGGCGCTGCATTCGTGCAGTGTCCAGTGCAGAATCGCCAAGTTGGTTAAGGCATCGGATTTTGATTCCGACATACGAGGGTTCGAATCCTTCTTCCCCTGCCAAATGTCTTTTCGCTGTCGTCAATTCTGATCTACCAACCACACAGCAAGCGGCCACCAGCATCATGACCTCGCATGCCTCAGTTTGTCTGGGTGACGGACGGTACCACGTCACGAATCACGTGGTCAAACCCATGTCTAAAGCAGAAACGAGAAAAGGGAAAGGAACTTTGACAACTTTCTTATATTTGTCTGGGGACTAGACAAGGTAATCTTTCTCAATCTTCTTTTTTCTTCAGTGCTATAAAACTCAGCGCTTCCCGCTTTACACACTGTAATTCGCTCAAGCTAAATGCAGAATTTTGTTCAGATATGACGAAACTAGTGAGAAAATATTTTTCTAGAAAATGCTGCTGCAAAATGTGCAGCGCTTCATAATGTTTCCGGTTTGATGGGCCGCTACCCACTACTGATGCTTTTTTATTTGCAGAGCACGATGAGCGCGTTTCGGTTAGATCTCAGCCCTCTGAAAGAGCCTCTGGGATTTATACGTGTACTGGAATGGGTACGTGCTTTTCAGTTATGATCGTGAGCTATTCTGTGTAGGTACATCACAAGTTATTAGAAAAAAATAAACCATGACAACATTATTCTCATTCTCATTATTCTCCAATTCTTTAAAGCGTTTAGCTTTAAAGAAACACTTTAAATCTGTAATCCCTTTTTTTTTTAGCTTACTTGTGGTGTTAAATTTTTTTCTTGATGCAACGTTTGTATGACTCAGTTTATCTTTGGGCTTTACCAAATAGCTTAAAGATAAAGTGTCTGTAAACAATTACTGTAACCTGTCTTTGTTAAATACCTTTTGGTATTACTTGCCATGCATGTTATCCAGAGGGTCATGCATTCTTCACTCTTTTTTTTTTTATCAATGCACAAATATGTATCATGCCTCTGTCATTCTCCTTATTTAAGGCAAGCACCGGATATTACCATCATACAACTTTTAAGGTGTTTAAAACCCACAATAAGCATTTCTTCTTTGAAACAGCCATTAAAAAGAGGAAGCAGAAAGCAGCGAGGCTGTGTGCGGGGCTTTTAATGGTGATTCGCTGTTAGAAATTGATTTGTATTTCTTCATATGCTGATTTTAGTTCTGTGTAATTGTGTGCATGCTTCCTGTGGTTTCCATTTGTACGCATTCATATAAACATACATTCATTAAACCTCTTTGTATTCACTAACTGTCTTTACAGATATTTGCTATTTTTGCTTTTGCTACAACTGGGGGTTATTCTGGCTCTACCAGTTTCAACATCCAGTGCAAGGACAATGCCAGCAAAGAAATAGATGTATCCTTCAGCTATCCTTTTAGGTAAACAGTATGATCCAAATACATATGAAACTCATTGTTTTTAATAAAAATATTTTTCATAATTTCCTTTTTTTATTATTCTTTGTTACAAAGGCTCAATACCCAGAGTTACAGTGTGCCAGACTGCAAAGTCAACACAACAATGTTTAAACTCAAACAATTGACTGGAGATTATTCATCTTCCGCTGAGTTCTTTGTAGCTATTGGAGTTCTGGCTTTCCTGTACAGCACAGCTACTCTTGTGTTGTATCTGGGTTACCAGCACATCTACCGTGAATCTCCTCGCGGCCCCAACATTGTGAGTGTGTATAGGTTCAAGATCACACTGTATGTATTTTCAGAGTTCCTCCGCTATGTCTGTGCATGCCTTTAAATTCATATTCCATTTTATATATTTAATGGCTGACTCAGACGTTGTACGGGAAATGAATGCCAGCCACTGCATGTCTGATAAGTTAATTTATACATTTCCTGGCAGTCATTATATTAGCCTGCTCGATATTATGCTGGATTTCAGCATCACTTGGTTGGATGAACTTTTGTGAGCTGTTTCTGAGCTGTGTGGGGGTGTGAAGAGTTCCACTTGTGTGTAAATGAAGAAACAGAGGGGTGGGTTTTTCTGGCAACAGCTGCAACTGTTAGTCCAAACTAAGTGTCCTGGGAATAAAGTAATGGCATTTGAGTGTCATATATAAAACATTGGTGAATAGATAACATTTATTAACATAATACTTGTGTAATAATTAATATATTTTTAAAGAAATGTCTCTGAAAGAAGTCTTGTATGCTTAGTTTCTGTAATTTATTCCTAATTTATAAAGTTGAATTTTCATTGACATGTCTTCCATGTCATGTGATCATTCAGAAATCATTCTAATATACTGATTTGGGCTTCAAGAATCAATTCTTATAGGGGTGTGCGATATCACGAGTTTTGATCGTGGACGATTAAAATGTCTCCACGATCTGCTTTTGAAGTAGTATCGCGCTACAGCGCACATTCTATCAGTTGCAGTTCTGGCGCCTCCATCTCTACTGTACAACGCGACATACATTCACATTAAAAGCTAACTCAGCGGTAGGGTTACACTTACGGGACACTGCACTTATTCGAAATCAAAAAAGTACATTATTTGCATGTGCTTTAAAAAAGGTTAAGGTTAAACATTTCATTAGTGTGCTGTTCTTTACTGGACTAAGTTATCTTTCGTGTCTGATTGCGCTAATACTGTCAAAACACACAAGGTTTACATATAAACACAGTTGGTTATGTCTAAGTGAAAGTAATGCGTGCAGGTGTCCCAAACCTGTATTAATTTCTTTCTCATGCTGAACACAAAAGAAGATATTTTGAAGAATGTGGGTAACCAAACAGTGGCTGGTCCCCATTGACTTTGATAGTAGGAAAAAAAAAATACTATGGAAGTCACTGGGGACCAGCAACTGTTTGGTTACCCACATTCTTCAAAATAACTTTTTAAGTTGAGCAGAAGAAAGAAAGTAATTCAGGTTTAAAACAACTTGAGAGCAAGTAAATGATGACATAATTTTTGGGTGAACTATTCCCTTATCTTTAATGTTAGTAAAACAAAGAAAGATTTAAATGATGCTTTGTTAAATTTATAGAACAAAAATAGTAACTTTAAATCTTTCAATTTAAGAAGATAAGAGCTGTGGCCATAGCCAATGATTTTGCATTACCTTGGTTATTACTACCAGTATTCCATTTCATTTATTCCTTCAACTATTTTAGCAAAAATAATTTAGGTGTAATTGCAAATTTCAAATTATATTTAGATATTTACTCAATTTCCACTCTGAAGTGGAAACAAACTTCCATTACATTCCATTTCCGAAAAGAAAACATGATGTGAAAATGTGCAAGTCAATTTATGTGGACCATAGTAACAAGAAAAGATGGGCATATGTGTTTTCTTTTTGCAGATTGCAGCATTTCATTTATCTTTGTTCAACTAAAGTTATTCAATTTCATCTTACCATCCACAAACCACCAACCTCAAAGGGTTAGTTCACCCAAAAATGAAAATTCTGTCATTAATTACTCACCCTCATG